TGTGTGGGGAGGCTTTATGTGTGGGGAGGGGGGCTGTGTGTGTGGGGAGGGGGCTGTATGTGTGGGGAGGGGGGCTGTATGTGTGTGGTGGTGCTGTCTACGGTGGGGCGTGTGCACTGTGTGGGGTTTGGGGGGAGAGGGACAGTGTACTTGTGGAGAGTGTACGGGTTGTGTGTCAGTGGGAAGAGGTGCTGCGATCGTGTGTGTGGGGGGGCGGTGTTGGTGGAGGTTATCTGTGGGTGTGTGTTTGAGTGTGGTTTGGGAGGACTGTGGTATGCCGCGAGGGTCTGCATGCGTGGGGGGAGGGAGGGGGGTCAGTGTAGGAGGAGGAGGGTCTGTGTGTGTTTGAAGCCCTTCAGCCCAGTCAGTCTGAATTAGACCCCCACCCAACCCGCAATCACATGGGGTAAATAACTGACCCCAATAGCAGAACAGTATAGAGTGTAAACTGATCGGCTTCACAGCGAACAACAACAACAACACATTCATCCACTGCTCATAAACTTATCTTTTAAACTACAAACAGCCCCTATTCCGCTGGAATTAAACCGCTAAACATATCTGATTCTGTTAGTAATAACCGGGGATAGAAGGTACCTTCAGACCTATAATACACTGTGATATATAATATATACTGAAGTGATGTGAGCGCCGACAGTGGAGGCCATGACTGGTGTCCGTGGGGACACGCGGGCTCTCATTTCTCACCGCGCCATTCTGTTATACCCTCCAGCGGCCACACGCCCTGGTGACAGCCTGACATGTGCACAACAGCCACGCGTGTGTGAGGTCCCCTGGTGACAGCCTGACATGTGCAAAACAGCCACGCGTGTGTGAGGTTCCCTGGTGACAGCCTGACATGTGCACAACAGCCACGCGTGTGTGAGGTCCCCTGGTGATAGCCTGACATGTGCACAACAGCCACGCGTGTGTGAGGTCCTATGGAGACTGCCTGACATGTGCACAACATCCATGCGTGTGTGAGGTCCGGCAGGAGATGGCGGTTCCCGAACACATGGTCAGGAGAGAAGGGGACAAGCTGTCGTACTGGTGTCTTCACTGTGAATCGCTGGTGTTGGATCGTGTGGATCTCCGCTGCACATCAAACACTAGTTATTTCCTTCACTTCTCACAGCAGCTTCTCATGTGGGGCTGCGAACAGCATCGGGTGCTGGAAAAGTTTCCCACAGGAACAGAGTCTTTCACAGCATTTGCAGTGTTCCGTGTGTTGGGAGTTCGCAAAACACTTCCCACATTCCGCTCATTTATACGGTTTCTATCTGTGGTATCCGCTGGTGACTGCGGAGTGTCACTGAATATGTGAAATCTTCCCACATTGGGAAAGTTATACGGTTTCTCTCCTGTGTGTATTCGCTGGTGTTTTGGAGTGTTCCTGACTCTGTGAAAATCTTCCCACATTCATTACTTAATACGATTTCTCTCCTGTGTGTATCCGCTGGTGTTTTGGAGATGCCCTGAATGAGCAAAACTCTTCCCACATTCGTTATGGTTATGCAGTTTCTCTCCTGTGTGTATTCTCGGGTGAAGGTGGAGGGTCCCCGAACGTGTGAAACTCTCTGGTGACTCTGCACAGATCGTGTGAACCCCTTTTCTCCAACAGCATCAGTGATAGATCCCGGACATCTCTCTGCTGAGAGGGTACAGTTGGCTACGAGCTGCGGAGCGGCGGCAGACAGCGCGGGAGGGATGGGGGAGAGGAGGGGGTGGTGGAGATGTGGGGAGAGAGGGGGTGAGAGGGGTGGGAGAGGGGGGGAGCCGGGCGTTGGAGCGGGGCAGAGAGGAGGGGGGGCAGAACGGTGGGGGTGTGGGTGGGGGAACCGCTGATGTCATAGTTTAGTTTCAGGAGTATGTGCGCGCAACAACAAAAAAAATACAACCCTCTGCGCTCCCCCCCCCCCCAGGGCTCACATCAGGGACCACCATGGGCCTCTGGGGTTGGCCGGGCACACACACTGCACCCCAGCACCATACAGATAGACACAGCCCCAATCCCACACAAGCGGCCCCCACCGTACACATGCAAACAGTTGTTATTCGATTGGTGGATCACTTTCTGCGGTGAGCAATTCGTCCCAAATAATAATAGTCACAATAGTGTTGTCCCTCAATAGACGACTGTTTGTGGGGATGTCGCTGTGTGCGATTGTCTCCCGTGTTTCACAAAAAAACAGTCACTACACTTTACAATGTATTCTGTGAAGCGCTTTAAGACGTCTCCAAGATGAGATGAGGCGCATTGTCAATTATTAATATTAATACAACAAAAAGGGGTTTAACCTCCTCCCACATAAACCTCCTCTCCCCCTTCAATTCAGTGGACGACCTCGCTTTAATGCACAAATACGCTCTCCAGACTGAAATCCTCCTCCAGCCCCACCACTCTCTGTCTCCTGATTGCAGCACAGCCGCCAGCGGCTGATTGACAGAGAGAGAGAGAGTGTTGGGAGACGAAGATTATCTTTACGTCCCTCACATGAGAAAATGACAGAATAAAAATGAATGAAAATGGCAAATGATTCCGTGCCGATGGCTTTAATATTAGTTATAGCTCATTGTAACATTACAGTGAACGTCGACAGTGTCTCAGCCGTACGGTAACAGAGTGATAAATACACTGATTAATATCCCTCTCCGTCAACCATCAACTCCACCACCAACATCCCCTCCCACCCATCCCACACACCCGCCCTCCCCCCATCCCACACGCACCCCACACCCCATCCGACACACACCTCCACCCGCACACATTTAGCCGCTCCTCGCACATTCAGCCACATACAAATCCCCTCCGCACACACGCACACAGCCCACAGACACACATAGTAACACACACACAAACACAGCCCCCACCACCACCACTCCCACCAGCACAGCAATTCAAAAGGAAATATTTTGATTAAAATCAACAGCGAAAAAGAAACTGGTTGGTAAAAAAAACTAGCACTTAAGCCTCCCCATTCTGCTGGTAACAAACCAGGGGACGAGGTGCTTTTGAGCAAAAATATATACTTAAGTGATGTGAGCTCCGATACTGGAAGCACAGCTGGTTTCAGAGGGCTCATATCTCACCGCGCCATTCTGTTATTCTCTCCCGCAGCCACACACCTCGGTGATAGCCGGACATGGGCTCTTTCCACATTCAGCGCATTCGTATGGTCTCTCTCCAATAGTTTGTGAGGACCTTCAGGAAACGCTGGTTCCTCAGCACATGTTCAGGAGAGAAGGGGACAAACTGTCGCACTGGTGTCTTAACTGAGTCAATGGTGTTGGATCAAACAGATATCTGTCCTGTTATACATCAAACTATTATTGTTATTCTATGCATTTCTCAAAGCAGCTTCTCGTGCGGACTTTGAACTGTATCGGCTCCTGGAAAGCTTTCCGCTGGTAAAGAACATTTCAAATTTTTCTGATAGGACACCGCACAATTCATCCCACATTCGGCATAATTATACAGTCTCTCCTGTGTGTATCCGCCGGTGACTTTGGAAGTGGTCTTTCCTCGTAAAATTCTTTTCACATTCAGGACAGTTATATGGCCTCTCTCCGGTGTGTGATCGCTGGTGTCTCTGGAGACCCCCTGATGTTGTGAAACGCTTTCCACATTCTGCACATTTATGTGGTCTCTCTCCAGTGTGTGATTGTCGGTGTCTCTGGAGGTCTCCTGACGTTGTGAAACTCTTTCCACATTCAACACATTTGTGTGGCCTCTCCCCGGTGTGTGACCGCTGGTGTCTCTGGAGGCTGTCTGGCCTTGTGAAACGCTCTCCACATTCTGCACATTTATACGGTTTCTCTCCTGTGTGTGATTGTCGGTGTCTCTGGAGGTCTCCTGATGTTGTGAAACTCTTTCCACATTGTACACATTTGTATGGCCTCTCTCCTGTGTGTGATCGATGGTGTATCTGGAGATAACTCGAGTTTGAAAATCTCTTTCCACACTCAGCACATTTATATGGTCTCTCTCCAGTGTGTGATCGATGGTGTATTTTGAGCGATCCGGAAGCAATGAAACTCTTTCCACACTCAGCACATTTATACGGTCTCTCTCCAGTGTGTGATCGATGGTGTATTTTGAGCGATCCTGATGCTCTGAAACTCACTCCACATTCTGCACATTTATATGGCTTCTCATCTGTGTGTGTTTGTTGGTGTATATGGAGGTGACTTGAAGTTGTGCAACGTTTTCCACATTCAACACATTCATATGGCCTCTCTCCTGTGTGATACCGATGGTGTATCTGGAGATAACCTGACGTTGCGAAACTCTTTCCACAGTGAACACATTCATGTGGCCTCTCTCCTGTGTGAAATCGATGGTGTCTCTGGAGATAAGTTGACGTTGCAAAACTCTTTCCACATTCTGCACATTTATATGGTTTCTCTCCCTGTGTGGGATCGATGGTGTATCTTCAGACTGCCCAACATTTTGAACCTCTTCCCATATTCCAGACACTTATACAGACGCTTTCCTCGGTGTGATTGCTGGTGTCTCTTGAGGTGCCCTGAATGTATGAAAGTCTCACCACATCTGGAACATTTATACAGTCTATCTCCTGTGTTCGATTGCTTGTGACCCTGTAGAGATCCTGTTTGCGAGACTCGGTTTTCCTCAACATGAAATACGATAGATTCCTGACACTCTCTCTGCTGCAAAGCATCATTTGCGCTACGAGCAGTCTGCGTTGTTGATGTGTCTTTATGGAACTCGGGATGTCTTCTGCTGTGTTCCTGGAGGAACTCGGCACGAGTCAACACAACGCCGGCATGAGGCCAGGGATGAGCCTCAGAATCATCCACTTTGGCTGCTGATGGGAGAAAAGAAAGATCTGGATAAGCAATATATGAGCTTTCTTTACGAATTGCTCTTGAGCAAATTGGATTGAATCCTTGCATTTGTACAGCACCTGATGATGTCAATGATTTACATAATTTACTGCCAACTGTACGGTCAGTAGCAGCTTACATTTATATACCGCTTTTCATGCTGATCACTTATTGACAGTGTCAGTTTCTGACGGCAGCAACTACCCACAAACAGCCGTGAGGCGACTCCGTGATCAGTGTATTGACGACGGTCTGGGACACATGGAGATACTTATATTAATGCGGGAAATGCTTTCCATTGTAGGTGGTGCATTGCTTCAGATGAAATGTTATAATGAGCTCCTCGGCCATGTCTGTTCAGGTGGACAGTAAAGATCCCATGTAATGTTTCCAAAAGAGAAGCGAGTTTCTCTGTGTTGCACCACACCATTAAAGGATCTTTACTATGTGTCTGGAGAGGCACAGAGTGACTTTAGCTTAAAAGCTCGGGGTGTATGACAGTGCATCGCGGGGTGGTGGGCAGGATTGGGGTGAGGGGGGTTGGGGGAGGGGCTCTACGGAGGCAGCCATTTTGACGTTTCCCGCCTGAACCAACCAATGGTCAAAATCCACTGCGTGATGTCACTTCGCGGCCTCATATTTCAAACGCACAGACTAAATCTTCAATGAGCGTTTTCCACAACCTCCTTCCTATCCCTTCTCACGGCTCTCCTTCCCCTCTGTATCCCTATCGCTCCCTCAAAACCTCTTTAATCCGGACATCATTGTCTTTCCAATTAAAAGCCGTGTTCCCAACCCCATATTGACCCCCTGCACTGCTCTCTCCTCATTCCTCATAGCCCTTCCCATCCCCCACAGCAGTGCACAGGCTGACCATCCCCGCTGACAGCGTTTGGTTGCCGTTGCTGACCTGAGTCGCCATTCCCCAGCCCTGTCATCTGAGCTCCATGAAAACCAGGGCACCGGGGAGAGACGGCACCTCTGACAGTGCATCGTCCCCCCCCCCCCCCCCCTCAGCTCTGTGCTGCATTGTCAGCCCAGACTCTCAGCTCATTGCCCGCGATGTGGCGCTCGAAGCGACAACCTTCTGACTCGGAGCCAAGAGCACACCAACTGAGCCCGGCTGCCATCTGCCCGATTCTGCACTCGAGCATTTGATGCTGAGAAACTCAGAATGATTTTTCACTCACACAGGTAATCATCGTCAGGAAGATCCCTTTCCTCAGTGCAATCTCTTCTCTGCCTCTTTCTCAAACCGTATCTGCTGCTCCCGGCCTCTCCTCCGCTCACTCGGTTGCGTTTGGAGCTGAACCCCTTTGCGATTTGATCGCCTGTAGAGAAATGTTTTTTAAAACAGAAGAACACGAGCATTACATTTGCAAAGCGGTTTTCAAGTGAGGAGGACGTCCCAAGGCACCGAACAGTCGGGGCTCAGGACCCGAGCCTTGGGGTGGCGTGGTTGTGCGAGGGTCAGAGTTAGACGAGAGAGGGTAGAAAACGTAGGCCTCCAATAACGTAAATTATAAGAAGGAACGCGGTTATAATAATAATAACAATAATAATCATTGCATTTGATGTAGCGCTTTTCACGTCTTCTCGACATCTCGCAGCGCTTCACAGAATAGACTGTAACGTGAATTGACTGTATATTTGTACGCGAAACGCGGCAGCCAATTGATCACAGCAGCGTCTGTCCCACAAAGTACCGTGGATTTAAAATGACCAATTTATTATTATTATATATTGGAGGGATTATCTGTTTACCACACACGTAAAAAAATCTTAACTCTCTTGTGTTTGCTATTTGAGACATTTTAAACAGTGGACTTTTAGGCACTAATTATGAAATCTTCAGAAAAAATTACAGAAATAACGTCACTGGTTGAATTAGTTTTTAAAAAATAAGATGTTTTCAATAGTCAAAGACAATGTTAAGATATAATCATTGCCAGAGCACTTTCAATATAAAGACTATAATTACACATTTATATTTTATTAACACTATAATTCAACATGTAGAAATCAAAGCTTCAAGATGTTTGGCATCGATCCAACCGAGACTAGAAAAATGAAAAGTTTCCGTCCCCTCTGCCAAGATTGAGACTGAATTTCTTCTCTGGTGTATTGATGTCACTTAACTTTTGACAAGCGATATGTGGCAGTGATTGATTTATCCTCTGTACTAAATGCTGATCTGAGCCAACTAATGCAACCCTTCATTTGATGAACTTACAAAGTTAGCCTTATGGTTAGGGCATAAGAAGATTGATTTCCAATTTTTCATTGTGGTGTGTTGGCTCACTGTTTTGCGCAATTTGGCTGCCGTGCTTCACCCATAAAACACCAAATGCACTTTACAATATATTCTGTGCATCGTTTTGACATATCTTATTGCTGCGATGAGGCGTATTAGCAAATTGGAGGATTATAATAAAATATCATTATATATTATTAATACATTAAACACAACAATGCAGTAAAATCCAATTAATTTCACAAGTCAATAGCCAATGCATCAAAGTACACGTGTTGTTTCAACAATATCTTCGGCAAATTAAGTAGTGACGAAGGTACAGAGAAATTGAGAGGCGATTACTTACCTTTCCCAGAGGTAGTTCCACACTCCATGTCGCTCCCTTCGGTTTTCTCAGACATTCTCCCCTGCCTTGTGTTGGCAGCTCATATTTATATCTGATTAGTTTCTTTGTGTGAAGCCAATAATGCAGCCATTTACCCTTCACGTTTAAAGGTAATCGGCTGATAGTACAGCAGTTGGTTTTCTGGCAGTTTTCAAACCAATGTCGTCTTCAGGTGATTGAGCCAAATTCACAGCTTTTGTCCACTTCTGGGTATTTCAATAGGGTGAGAGTTGGATACTGCGAAGGGGAGGGGGAGGGGAGAGAATGGCAGGGAAATGGAATAAAGTATCTGAATCATAAGCAGTCTGGGTGATAATAATAATAATCATCATTGCATTTGATACAGCGCTTTTTAAGTCTTTGGGACGTGAAAATATATTCACCGTATTTCTGTGGGCGAAACGCGGCAGTCAATTGCGCACAGTAGTGTCCCACAGACAGTCGTGGATTGAAAATGACCAATTTATTATTGCCGTGTTCTGGAGGGATTATTATTAGATATCTGGAGTAGGGAAACTTGCCCGAGGCTTTGCTCTGCCTGGAATTGATCCCAGGTGTCTCGATCGCAAGGCGAGTGCTCTAAGCACTGAGCAACTGGACCCCAAGATCTGAAGGATATTCTCCTGTAACTGCGGGACCGAATGTCTGATATCCTTAAACACAAGTTCCATTTTGTAAACCAGTGTTTATTTTTACACCCCGATCGCCCTCCCCGAGGAGCACAGTCACCAGATGGACGTTCTGCATCCGACAAGCGCGGGATTGAGCCTCACTATGTAGGCAGTGGGTACAAGGAATTCCCTGCGATCTTCCAGGTGGGCAACACATCTCAGCACTAAATGTATCAGATACCATTTGCACCGATTGAAGCCGCCTATTACAGGCTCTGAGCTGTTTAATTTCCCTCCCCCCACCCCACCACCACAGATAGATTTCCCCCTCCCCACCACCGAGGGAATTAATATGGAGGACTGTCAGTCAGGACCCGCGAGAGAGAAACTTCTCTTTTCCATTCACGTCACGAGATATTACAATTCCCTCTCATATATGAGTGAAGCTGTCCAGCCCAGGAGGAGAGGGTCAGGTTACTGCCGGCCAACTCCTGGGGCCTTCGTTTATGTTGCGCTCAATACCAACAATTTACATCCAATTAAACCGCACATTAAATGTCCCTTTGTTTAATGTGGCGTTCAATACCTACAATTTACATCAAATTAAACCGCACATTAAATGTCCCTTTGTTTAATGTGGCGTTCAATACGTACAATTTACATCAACTAAAACCGCACATTAAATGTCCCTTTGTTTAATGTGCAGTTGGATAGATACGATTTGCACCTATTGAAACTGAGCATTAAATGTCCCTTTGTTTAATGTGCAATTAATGTCCCCCCTCTCCTCCCCCCGCCCCCCGACGTCCTCACTCCCCAATCCACCACTCGGCGCCTCCGCTCGTCTGGCACCGGCCTCCAGCTTGTCCCCCCCGCCATCCGCTCCATCATTGGCGGTCGCCCTTTCAGCCACTGACCCACGAAAATCCTGAACTCTCTCCCGCAATCTTCCCGCATTGTCCCCTTTCCCCCTTTTCACGTCCTGCCTGAAAATCTTCCCTTCCGACCATGTCACCTCCCGCCCTCCCCGGGCCGGTCAAACTCCACCACGCTTAAGCGCTCCGATACGCTAGACTGCGTGGAGGTGGCGGTTGTTGAAAAGACGCAATTTGCTCAAGTGTAAAGGCGCATTAAAGGTCTCCAGAGGGTAGGGTTCACTGCCCCCCTCCCCCCAACCAGAACTTGTGGAGTCCTGTAGTCCTGTAGCTCAGTGGTTAGAGCACTCGCTTTGCAAGTGAGAGACCGGAGTTCAATCCCAGGCAGGTCAGGGCCAAACCTTGGGCAAGTTTCCTTACTCCACACAGAGCCTAATAATAATCCCTCCAAAAAAAAAACCCAAACAAAAATGAATTGGTCATTTCCAACACACGAATGTTTGTGGGACATTGCTGTGCGCAATTGATTGCCGCGTTCGCCCACAAATATACAGTCAATTCATTCTACAGTGCGTTCTGTGAAGCGCTTTGGGACGTCCTCCCGACGTGAAAAGCGCTATATCAAATGCGAGGATTATTATTATTATTATTGTTGCTGTTGTTGTTATTGCAGAAGCCGCGCCGTACAACATGGCGGCCCCCAGCGGAGAGCGGTGCCGTACGGCGCCGTACATGCCGACGTCACCGCGCGGGCGGGACTCCCGGCCCTGCGTCATTGCGACTTCGCACGCGGCGGCCGTCAGCGTCGGCTCCGGATACGGAGAGAGAGAGAGATGCCGTGAGGGATAGAGAGAGAGAGAGAGAAGGAGAGAGAGACGGTGAGGGATAGAGAGAGTGAGAGAGAATGAGAGAAAGACGGTGAGGGACAGAGAGAGAAGAAGAGATAGACGGTGTGGGACAGAGAGAGAGAGTCGGTGAGGGACAGAGAGAGAGAGGAGAGAGAGACGGTGAGGGACAGAGAGAGAGAGAGAGAGAGGAGAGAGAGACGCTGAGGGACAGAGAGAGAGAGAAGGAGAGAGAGACGGTGAGGGACAGAGAGAGAGAGAGAGAAGCAGAGAGAGACGGTAAGGGACAGAGAGAGAGAGAGAGATAAGGAGAGAGAGACGGGGGAGAGAGAGAGCGAAGGAGAGAGAAACCGTGAGGGAGGGAGAGAGAGAGAGAGAAGGAGAGAGAGACACTGAGGGCGGGAGAGATTGATAAGGAGAGAGAGACAGTGAGTGAGAGAGAGGGAGAAGGAGAGACAGTGACGGTGAGGGACACACACAGAGAGAGAAACGGTGAGGGAGAGAGAGAGAGAAGGGGAGAGAGACGGTGAGGGAGAGAGAGAGGTGAGAGAGACGTTGCGGGACAGAGAGAGAGAGAGACGGTGAGGGACAGAGAGAGAGAGAGTCGGTGAGGGACAGAGAGAGAGTGAGAGAGACGGTGAGGGACAGAGAGAGAGAGAGACGGTGAGGGACAGAGAGAGTGAGAGAGAGAAGGAGAGTGAGACGGTGAGGGAGAGAAGGAGAGAGAGACGGTGAGGGACAGAGAGAGTGAGAGAGAGAGAAGGTGAGAGAGACGGTGAGGGAGAGAGAGAGGAGGGAGAGACGGTGAGTGACAGAGTGAGAGAGAGAGAAGGAGAGTGAGTCGGTGAGGGAAAGAGTGAGAGAGAAGGAGAATGAGACGGTGAGGGAGAGAGATAGAGAGGAGAGAGCGACGGTGAGGGACAGAGAGAGAGAGAGGGAGACGGTGAGGGACAGAGAGAGAGATAGAA